TGATCATATGACTTGTTTACCTGTTGCTGAAGTAGATATTGAATGCGATTTGGGTACAGTAACCACCAAAGCAGCTGTTATAGGAAGACCACTTAGACCAAGGACGATATATATTAGGCAACCAGACAGCGGCTCTTCTCAGAGGAACTGAGAAAAATTATTCGTCGTATGTCGGTAATGTTAATGCGGTCGTTACTCGATCTCAAGCACGACAATTAAAGGAAGCGGAAAATTTATGTGAGACGAATCAAAATTCTGAGCAGAATGAGTTAGAATTGGAAGAGGAGGACGATGTTCATGAGAGGTCTGAAAACAGAGAGATATTACCTCCTGTCAACCTTTGTGTCCCCACAAGTCCTGCGATTCAAATAGACTCAAGTACTTTTATTGATGAACAACCAAAAAATAAAGAACTTGCGCCTTTATTAGAACTAGTAAAAAGCGGAAGTAAAACAAGTTATGGGATTAAAAATGGGGTTTTAGTAAAAAAGAAGGTAAATAAGTTAGGAGGAGAAGAACATTTAATTGTTGTTCCAGAAAACCTCAGAGAGCAAATTAAAAAGCAATTTGTCATGAAGGAACTTCAGGTCACTTAGGAGTTCTGAAAACAAAAGACCGGTTACTAAGACATTTTTTCTGGCCAAATTGTTATAAAGACATTGAGGAATTCGTTAAAACATGTGACTCCTGTCAACGTGTAGGAAAAGCAAGTGACAAAAAGAAAGCACCGTTGGTAATAGTACCTGTGATATCGGAAGTCTTTAGTAAGGTTAATGTAGATGCTTGCGGGCCTATGCCTACATCTACTGAAGGTAATAAATATCTTATTACAGTTATGTGCTTAGCATCTAAATATCCTGACGCCGTCCCGGTACCGGATATAACGTCGAAATCTGTTGTAAGTGCACTCTTGCAGGTATTTAGTCGGATGGGGGTTTTCCAAGGGAGGTTCAAACTGATCAAGGAAAATCTTTCATGAGTCGCTTAACCGTTGAATTTTTGAAGAGGTTTGGTATAAAAATTTCCAGAAGTTCGGTTTACCACCCCCCAGAGCAATCCTGTAGAACGGTTCCATAGGTCAATAAAAAGGGTCTTAAAGGTATTATGTATTGAAGCTGCCCCAAATTGGGAAGTACAATTACCTGCCGCTCTCTTTGCCCTGCGGACAGTAAACGCATGATAGTACAGGATTTAGTCCAGCTGAAGTTAGTGTACGGGACCAACCTCAGAACACCTGTCGCATTATTGTATGAGAAATGGTTAGATCCTCAGGAAAAAGAAGATACCGTAATAGAATATGTTTTCGAATTAATCAATAGGTTAAAGAAAAGTAGAGAATTAGCTACAGAGAAAATGGAAGAGGTGAGAGACAAAAGGAAGAAATGGTATGACAAAAATGCCGTGAAAAGGGAATTCCAGCAAGGAGATGCCTGTATTAGTATTAGCAGTGAACCAACCCCATAAACTCGCTCCTCAATGGAAAGGGCCGGGGAAAAAATAGAGAAAAGATTATCAGAAACAAACTATGTGGTTAGTTTTGAAGGGAATCAGGAAGGGAATAAAAGTGTATCACATCAATATGTTAAAACCTTATCATAAGAGACCTGAACTTTTGAATATGGTGCTTCCTTGACAAAAGTTGACTCGAGGAGATAGTTGAACCCTCGGAATTAGAGGAGGATTTTCCTTATATGTTAACCGACCCCAATGTGTTTGATTTTAATGAAATAATAGCAAAAGATAATCTTAAAGAAAGACTTAGTGATGAACAAATCCTGCAGTTGGGAAAGTTGTTGGTAAAGTTTTCTGCTATATTTTCGAATATTCCAGGGAAAAACAAATTTAGTCGAACATGATATCGAACTAATCAGTGACAAACGCGTACAGCATAAGCCTTATAGAATGACAAATCGACAGAACGAAATTCTTAAAGTCGAGATTGAAAAAAATGTTAAAATACAAGATTATTGAACCAGGACCCTCTGAGTATACTTCACCCATGATCCTTGTTGAAGCACCAGGTAGGGATCCTAGGCCGTGTATTGATTACAGAAAGTTAAACGAAATAACGCGTACTGAGTTCTATCCGATCCCCAATATAGAGCAACGTGTTGAAACTGTTGCAGCAGCCAAATTTATCACCTTGATAGACTTAACTAAAGGTTATTGGCAAATTCCGCTGACCCCTAGGGCTCAGAAAATTGCTGCATTTGCTACAAATTTTGGTGTATATAGGCCTTTGCGAATGCCATTTGGCTTAAAAATGCTCCTTATTATTTTAGTAAAATGATGAGCGAAATATTGTGCGGATGTGAGAAATATGCTACCCCTTATTTAGATGATATTGCTATTTTTTCTGAAACGTGGGAGGAACATTTACAACATTTACATGAAATTTTAGAAAGAATAAGAAAAGCCAATTTAACTATTAAACCCTCCAAGTGCAAGTTTGCACAAGAAGAAGTGCAATATCTCGGTCACATAGTAGGTCGAGGAAAACGTTCTCCAGCAGAACTAAAAGTCGAAGCGGTTCAAAATTTTCCTGTTCCCACAACTAAAACTGAGATTAGAGTTTTCTTAGGGTTAGCTGGATACTACAGACAATATATACCTATGTTTTCTGCTTTAGCCGCACCTTTGACAGATTTGTTAAAAGGGAATAACAAAAAGGGTAAAATTGTTTGGAATGATGAATGTAATGAATCATTCAAATCGTTAAAAGAAAAGCTATCTAGTAGGCCTGCGCTACATGCACCCGATTTTTCTAAACCATTTATACTACAGACAGACGCATCAGATCAAGGATATGGTGTTGTTTTAGCCCAAAAGGATGATAAAGGAAGAACATCCCATATTGTATCTCAGTAAAAAATTTACGGATAGTGAGCGGAAGTATTCCACCACTGAAAAAGAGTGTGCCGCAATTCTGTATGGAATAAAAAAAACTGAAAGGGTATATAGATGGGCAGACTAAATTTTTCAATTCAAACGGACCATAATCCCCTGGTATGGAATAAAAAATTAATGCAGGTAGAAATGGTCGATTATTACGCTGGGCCTTAGCCTTGCAATCTTGATAATTTTACGATACATCATAAAAAAGGGAAGTAGACAACTTAAATGTAGACTGCTTAAGTAGAAACTCTGTACATGCCAGTTAAATAGAACTAGTTATCATTTCTTTTAAAGTTGTCTTGTTATTTGATTATGTATATTGTATTTTTCTTTCTTTTTAAAATTCATACTATATAGTTAAATTGTTAGCTTTATTATTCTTAAAGACAAAATTTCTGTGTTGGTTTTTCATATATTGTATATGTATTGTTATATGTAGTTTTTATGATGGCCTGGTTATGAGAGTGGAGAGCCTTTGTAACAGTGTAGTTTAAAATTAACTGGTAAAATGTTGAACAATCTGTATTGAAACCAGAAACTGTGAACTGTGAAGGTTTACTTCTCCTGTGTCCGGAGAAACAAAAACTGGAGGCGGAAGGTGTTTGTTTGTAGCGAACGCCTGCCTGAACTTCTATTTTATCCTGCAAAGTTTTGTTTCCTCTGTGTCCGAGGAAAACAAAATCTGGAGGCGGAAGGAGTTAGTCTGTAAAGAACGCTCCTGAACTCTACTAGAAAGACCTATGATGCTCTTGACTAGAGAGAACGTCGTTAGCAAACTCCTCACACTACGAGTACTATAATTCATTTTAACACCTTATGTAAAGAACTGTGAATGGCAACGACTTAACTGAATAATACGCATGCGTAAAGAGATGAGATTTCTGTCGGACGCCTGTCAGTGAGAGAAGAGTTTTGGGAAGCTCCGCCAGCGAGCTGAGGTGTGGAGACTTTGTTTATCGAGTGATGACGAGTACCATCTTCGTTAACGTCTCTGATTGTGTCACCAGCTCGGATATCTACTAAAGTTTTCTAAATGTATTAATGTTGTATCTGTGATATGTTGTGTTATTAAAAAGTGATGCATCACCACTATCAGTGTTGATTCCGTTCCCACTGAAGCATCCACGACGTCACACTGTCAAGGAGTTTTGTTAATGGCTAGAACGAGGCACAGCAATCAACGCTACAGCTTCTGTAAGACGTAAGACACTGAAAATATTACGCCTCGCAATACAAAATAAAAAGCAAGGACTATTAACTTGTGGTATTGTGTTTCGTGCATGACAACCTGCGATCGCATACAGCACGCATAATGACGAAGCTGCGTGATTTATTCCTCTGGGAAAAATTCAGTCACCCTCCTTATACTTTGGACCTAGAGCTATCCATGATTGTTTTCTCATCCCAAGAAATTTATTGCCGGCTAGTTCGGTGCAAGTGATGATGAGATCAAGGTAAACCTCCAGAAATGGTTTAGGTCTCAGACAGCCGAACTCTACGAAGCGGGTACGTTGTTATTAGTGCCAAGATGCCTTAATGACACATGCTTTAATTCTCATGGTGAATTTGTCAGAGGGTAGTTTTAAGGTGTGAAAAGTTTTATGTAATAAAATGCAAATGAAAACAAATTACTAATCTTTTTTAATAACCAACCGGTATTTACTTTTTGAATGAGCTTTGTATTATCGATAATATCGTTTTTCGAAATGTTAGAGCTCTAATAAACAAGTTTAAAGGTTTGAAAGGAAAGAGACTTTTTTTATCATACAGTATAAAGGTAGTTCAATTTTTAATGGCAATGTGCAAATATTCGACGCTACTATTGCAAGCGTTGTGTTAAAATTTGACTTTTTGTTTCGTATACAGATATGAAAAATGGAAAACAATATTCAGTGTTTGAATAGGCTCATGCTTTATCTACTGATTGCATTAATGTTTTAAAGTCATAGATAACTTTCCAAAATATAATGACATTAAGTTGTTAAAGACTCTTATTTAAATACTAATATCTGGAGTTTAGTTCAGCATGTAAAAATAAATATTTTATTTTTAAAATTGCAATACCAATGAACGCTGTTTAATTTATCTTGTTTTACTCTACGCAGGATTCATCTGAGAGAAGAACTGACGCTCCAACTACTCTGACCAACGGCCCAGGATCTCCAACGGTGGTTGTTGCGAGTGGCAAAGGTCCGAGCAGAGCCAGTGCTTCTAACACTACAGTTTCTGCCAGAGTCTGAATTATAATTCCCGAATTCTATAATACAAATCACAATTTTTTTTCCAAATGTTTGATGATAGTAATAGAATTATGCTAATTTGAGATTTTGAGGAAAGATAGTTACATACTGCCAATTTTTGTATGTAGCCAAAAAATTGACAGGTTTTCCCATCACTTTATTTTTGGTAAAATTATTTGATGCCAGATTACATCAAATTTTTTATGCTATATTTGAATAAAAAAATATAATTTTGCCCTTTAAAGAGCAAGGAACAAACATCTTAGTAATATTTGAGATGAATAACTCTATATTTTAATTTGAAATTTTCCGTATGCCTTTAATTAGTACCTTTCTTTTTAAATGTAGTCATCTTTTATTTCATACTAATAAGGAGAAAATTGGGGAAACTTAAAAACATTGGTTTTACCTTGGTAATTATTAGATTTCTTTATCATATTGTTCGCGGCTGTAGAAGGTGACATTTCGAGTTATTTTATCTAGATCAGATCATTTGATTTAAGATAAATATTTTACTCGGCTTTAGCAAATGCATACGGTCTGATGTAGAACATTTATTTCCTTTCAGTAATGCGCTTTCTAGTATGTCTAATTTTAGTTAGCTCTAGAGAGTGTGAAATATAATTTGCCCCTGACCAGTCTTCGAGATATTATATCAAGTCCAACACGTGCACGTTACACGTGCAAGTCCAAAATAATACCGTCACGCTTTATTGAGATAGAAGCAGCTTAAAATGCGATTCCTAATAAATTTATATCTTTCCGTTGTATTTTTGGAGTTTGTTCTTTCAGAAAATATATAGATTTTGACATATCGTTACAAAATTAGTATTCTGCATATTATACTCTCTGCAAAGAAGCTAAACGTCCTAAAACTGGAGTTGTTGCTCATCAAACTACAGTATATGCGTAATTTTGTTACAGAGTAATGATAATTTGTGTTTCTATTCTATGTCCAAAAATACAAATGCCTATGCCACGGTTTTCATATCAATGGGACCATTTTAGATTTACACTGAATATGGTCAGTCAAAATAATCATATTCTATAAAGTAACCCTTTTGTAAAATATGGTGGAAAAATGTAAAATACGGAGGGTGATGATAAAAATAGTTGTTGAGATCAAAAACAAGGAAAGACGCGTAAAGAGGTGGGAGAGGTGACGACAATGTATGCTGGTTTTGCACCATTATGCCAAAATAGAAATAAGCACAATACTCACATTAACTTAATTCCAACAAAAAAGGAACAATAAGTGATTTCATCATATCCCTATTCCCAAATTTTTGATGTTTCACATATGTTAGTGAAACTTTTCCAGTTAGAATTAATTTCTGTAATGCGCTGTTTAAATGCACAGTCAGTTTAATGCATATATCTCTCATTCATTATTTGCAGGGTCGGAATGCCATATAGGTACGGAATTGTTCACGTTCTTCAACTGTGTAATTAGATAACTTAAGGTAAAGATTCTGATGACGTATTGCAACTTGATTCCCTGCAACCAGTGATTACATTGCGCGTAAATTTTGTAAGGAAGTAATATTTACGGTGCGGTAATTATTAAGTATTAAGATAAGCACTCTAGAGTTTTAGTAAACCTCTAGCATGTATGCTTTGTAAATCCTTGTATTTATGATATCAGATATTGGTAAGATATCCAGTTCAAATTTTATATTCTCTACTAGTATATGGGAGCACATCTAGGGTAAGTTTTTTATTTTCGTAAGACTGTATTAGAATTTATGCAGTTAAACAGTCAACTGAAGCGCTAGGCCTAGTAAAATGTCCAGTTTTAAGTGAAAACCACATAACTTTACTCCTAATATAAATGTATTTCTTACGATAGGTACAGGAAGAAATAAGCACTTTGTGAGTAAATTCCCTTGAATTCACATTATCGTTGTTGAAAAATTGGGTTGTGCATCATGAAAATGTATAATAATTGTAACGAAATAACGTATTAATTAGCGTATATGCGTATTTTACGAATTACGTTAAAAGGTATATAATCTAGGATATATAAATAATTCTGTAATAATAAAGGTGCTCTGCTTATATTTTTTTATATTTTTGACAGAGTGTATTGAGAGAAGTTTTACAGTTTCTCACAGAGTACGGGTTGTCATAAAAATTATTCCTCCATATATGAACCCCTAGCGGCCTATCCGCTCAACCAATCGAAAAGAAATTTCAGACATTGCTATTTGAAGATATGGGTTAGTGATTGTGATGATTTTAAACGGTAGAGCTCTCACGGTTATGGTTACTGTGAAAATATTTCTAAATTTTTGAATGGCAACACCCTGTTCTTTTTCCTGCGCAAATTGATCAACACATTGAAAAACTGAACGATACACGTATGAGGAAAAACATTTGCGAAGAAGAACATTGTACAGGACCAGTGACAACACAAACGAGCAGAGGGAAAAGAACTTTTATTGGATTTCAAGTTTTCAAAGGGCTCATTTTTGCAATGATAATGCATTGGATGCGGAAGGTTGTTGACAGCAATGACGAACGTGACATCGCAGGAGTAATCTGTATAACTTCATGTTTTAAAGCACCTTTGAATTTTGACAAATCTCGCGGATTTGATGAGTGCACCTTAGATTTCAGATAACCACAGAACCAGAAATCCATCATAGTGAGGTCGGGAGATTTCGGTGGCCACGAAACTGCAAAGCTACAGAAGATGACTCTATCTTGAAACTTTGTACACGTTGAAAACTTCTAATTCCAAAAACAAGTTTTTTCTCTGTCTTCTCTTGTGTTGTCATTAGTCCTTTACAACGCTGTTCTTTGTAAATGTTTTATGCCAACAATGTTCGTCACGCGTGTATCGTTCCAAAGCCATTTATGATTTCCGATGCACTGATCAATTTGCGCAGGAAAAAAGTGGTTGTTGTCATTGGAAAATTTCGAAATGTCCGTAGTCGTGAGAGCTCTGTTGTTTTAAATCATCACAATATGGAGAGCATTCCTCCGAATAGTAGCATCTTAAATTTCATTTTGATTAGTTGAGCGATTAGGCGCTAGGGGTTCATATATCGGAGAATTTTTTTATGACCATCTTGTGAATGGAATGCAATTAGACATGAACTCGCAAAATAATCCTCACTGAAAATTTCTGCATCCGAATTTTAATCAGATTATTGTAATTGTCAATACATTCAACTACTTAAAAGATTCTAGAACTGCCGAACATTTTAGTCTCGGATCTAAAAACATGCTGTTGCAATTCTTACGACTTCAGACTTCAAAATGAGTTCCACCCTCACATCTAAACCATTCAAGTTCAATCTTCTATTTTTTAATGTTTAAAGAGGTACCTGCTTGAATATCATATTTAGTAACCCATGGAAAATTACTCTTTTCTTTCTTAATTTTTGTCTGCGGTTTAAATAGTATAAGAATGTCGAATGAAATAGTATAGTATAGTATGTAAATAGTATAGTATGTCGAATGAAGTAGCAGTTAACAGAGTTAACAATTAGCTAATTTTAGGAAGCTGGTTGTCAATACATAGATTTGCATTTCGCGTATAATTGTCATCATTATAGCCTTTCTTTCAGTTTCTTTTGTAGACATCTGAATAAATATTTTCTACCCGCTCAAGAATAATAAGTAACGTTTCAAGAGAAATATTTATGAATAAAAAGTAAAATTGTGTTCTACATTGATTCACCTTGGGAAGATGGCAAAAAATGCTGCTTTCGCAACTCTTATCTTGACCTAAAGAAGAAATTTAAATCATAGCAAGTTAAAATGGATTACAGAAGCGTTTTTTGTTTCGTAATTAATTCTTAATAATTCTTAAATTATCGTAAATAATTAAAGAATTATCGTAAATAATTCTTTAATTTGTTATAAAACATCATAAATGTCAGCAACTAATTGCTAAGTTTGTTATAAAAGCTTAGCAACAACAAAAGTTCCTTTAGTGTAATGAAAGGACCGTTGTTCACTTCAGATTTCATTTCTAAATGTTGCATTCAGGTTTATTCAATGACTCAAACTTATAGCAGTATAGTAATAACTGTTAAATATATATAATAGAAAAACATGAACTACATTTTCAAGTTTAAAGTTTACAGAGATATATAGAATTTGTCTAAATGAAGGATATGGGATTAGAAGGCAGTCTTGTACTTGAAATAAATTCATCAAATCTTCATTCTACATTTACATCAGGAGGCCTAAGATCTAAACCAAAATTAATTATATCTTTATTTACTATACATAAAAGAAGAAAATTGAGATAATAAAGATAGGCACATTAAACTTAACGTATATTTTAATTTTTTTATATTTTCCAAAACATAAAGTCCTAAATCTGGTTTCAAAGAATATTTAGACTTGTCATCCGATGTTGAAAAATGGCTATGTAACAGATTTCAACGGTAGAGGATTACTCTCTGAACTAGTAATGTATTATTTCAAAAGCTTAAGTTAAATTTAAATAATAAACAGATAAATCGTAATTAAAAATAAGATTAATGTGCTGCTTAAAGTGATTTATAATGTAAATTCGAAATTGTTATGAAAGATTTGTACTCCAAGATGCAATCAAGTTTGCTTATCTGCAAATTTTTTTATGAGAGATTAATAAATCATTTATTAGAAAATTTATTTCTTCTCTTCAATTGATAGTTTATGAGTAAGCGTAATTTTAGCGTTTAGGAGAAAGTTAGAAAATATTAGATGAAAGAAAAAGTATGTTTTCCATGGTCTACAAGCATAATAATTTTAAAGCAGAATTTTACTTCACTCTGAGGATTATCTACATTGCAAATTTATGGTTTCTGTCATATGCTTGAAAAGAAGAGTCATTTGTGTCAAAATACATGCATGTATGAGCCATGACAAAAACTGAAAATGTTACATAAGAATGATTTGAAATTATTTCCTTTTGAAAATTAAAATTTTAAAAGTTATTTGACTAATGGTATTCTGTTACATGACTGTTAAATTAAAATATATATTAAACTGAACTGTCGAAATATACCTTCATTTGGTGTATTTTATCTATTTAAGAACCGGAGTATGTACGCACAAAGAGAAAACATAACAATTACTACCAGGCATTTATTCTAAACGAACTTCTAATTTTAATTTTTATGAACATGAGGAACAGTTTGCGAGTACATGTGGTACAATCTCTTTATAAGTTTTAAGCTGTTAAAATGACTTCTAGAATGTTTCAGAAAGTTTTATGATCTCACGCCTAATGTGTGCAGGATATCTAACGTTTGACTATTACATCATTATTCTTTCTGAGGAAACTTATATTAAAAAGCAATATTGTATGCGAGTAAATTGTTCAATAGAATGAGTTTCTTACTTTCCCTCAAACAGTTCCCATGAAGTGATAATCTTCAGAATACAAGCTATATGCTATTAATAATTATCCAATTTAACATGAAATGACAACAGATGAGTTGAGTAATAAATGTTATTCTCCCAGATGAAGGAAATAATTATGGAAATCTCTTTCAAACCTTCAGCTAGATATGAAAAATTATTAACTAGATATGAAAGTTAAAATGTATCAATTAACGAATAACGAATTGTATTTCATTGTAAAGGGATTTATATTCAGATATTACAAATTGGAGGTTCGAGCAGAATAGAATGAAAGCTAATGGTATTTTATATAAAGAACTGAGATTATCACATTCTGAACCTCTAAATATAAAAAACATTTTAAGCTCTCAAATGAGAACTTAATTATGCCCCAAAGGAAAGTTTCTGAAATAATAACTCATTCTTTCAACAACGTTCTGTAACTTCTAGTTATTTGTATCCCTAATGTATTTGGATACTGAACTTGCCTTCAAGGCATATTTTGATAAGCTAAACTTATTACAATAAGGATGAGATAATTAGGAATTATGAATATTTTGATAATTTCAGAAGGCTTTGGAATTTTCTGAAAATTACATAATAATGCTTTAAGATATCCTATATATAATTAAAATATAAGGTTTAGAATAATCGGCTGGTAACTGTATACGTCAACAGATTTCCTCAGAATTACATGCTGTTGAGTGCGATAATAATTCTCAGGTTAAGTTATCAATCATAACAGTGAGGAAGTCTGAACTTCATGAGGATGCATAAGATAGAATGATCTAACACTTTCTTTTGTCGAACTTTGTTGTGTTGACATACACATATTTCACTAAACTAGCTTCATAAGTTACAATGATTTGATGGTTTTTCTTATTTCATTCTTCTCGTGATATTATCAAAATATAAAATAAAAAATTTGATTGAAATGTTATGGGTGCAAACAGCGAATAGTAACCGTAAATTAACAGAAAACTGATATACAGGTGCATGTCTCAGACAGAAATAATGTGAAAGCTGGAACTGGAGCTCAATGTTTCAATCACTTTCAGAGACAACTTAGATATCCAACACATTTATGGCGTGATGGAGTAAGGCTTGAGTTTCTGCTTACAATGTTATTTAAGTAATTTTTGTACTTCAGAATGCCTGGTACATGTGGTACCGGGAATTGGTATATTTTATTCGAAATTGTTAATTACCTTAATATGAGGGTGTAAATCCAAGGTCTAAAAAAAGAAAAAAAGCTGAAAACATAAATCGACGAAGAGGATGAGATTGGTAATCCCAGTGTTTCTCGAAAGTTCTGCTTGATAGCATCTTAAAATGCTAAGAACATATATTTATTTATGATTGAAATTTTATCTGATTCTGAGCTTTTTAAAGTATTTTTTCCAGAAATTTATATTTCTAGGCACTATGCGTGACGTTCATGCATTGAGCATATATTAAAAATATCAGATAAAGTTAATAGAGTTTCACTACCCATGTATCTTTCATATTTATCGCTTATTTCGAATGCCTACGAAATGTGTGTTTTAGACATTTAATGTAAAATCTTATCTGATACGATACTTAATACATGTATACATATAAACACTTTTATTATATACTAACTTCTTCTTCCTTTACATTCGCGTTTCCTTGGTAACTCCACTTTCACGTATTTCAACTGTTTCAGAAATTTAACTAAGCAAATTTGTGTGATCATCTTGTAATGCCTTTTTGTAGTAAATTATAAAGAGGTTAACATGTAAAATTGTATCAGTGCAATGAAAACTAGATATCTTTTCCCTCTGCTGGCAATTATTTTACGCCTTGTCTAAATGTTTTATTCTGAATAATTGCTTAAGTTTTATAAATTCATCAAATTTTCTTGATAAAAGTTTCTTATCTTTGTGAATATATATAAAATAATTGTGAAATTAATTATTTCACTCATTATCACTATTGTACATACTTCATGTGGACTCATATAACCTTATATTTGACTATTTTTTACTTCAACTGTTACTTCATTTTCACTAATACATTTATTTGAATTCTAAAAACCATATATGGCACTAGCTTTTATTATGAATACTAAAGTTAATAATTTTCAATATCTGCATATTATACTTAACTGAAAAGTTAATGAACATACAACAGGCAAGATTTTTTTTGTAAATATTGCTATTATACTGATGTTGTTTGAGTTATCTATATGCAATTTGTGCGCATTTGAAATAGGCATTCAGTCTAAATGTTTGATTAATGTTGAAAATTTATCCCAAAATGTTTTTGTGAAATTGTTCGTTATATAGTTTGTCAATTCAGCCTTTGTACGTGATTTATATATTCTAATATCTAATGAACATTAATTTTTATCCTTCGCTTTTGCTTGTGTTGTATTTTTTTCATTCTCGTTATTACTGATGGATTTAAAGGTGCGCTGGAATCTATAACCGCGAAGAAACTGGGACCAAGCTAATGACCCTGCACATCAATGCACACCTGTACAAGAAAACTTTTAGAGTTTTTATACTGCTTTTGCACATATTTCATGTACAGTTTTCAACCCTGGAATAAAAGATTTTACTCTATGTTGTATTTTTAACTTTACAGGTGAACTATTCCCACTTAGAATTGTTTTTGGAAGCCAATTTTATATGGTCATTTATTATGCATTTTGATAGGCGCTTATGAGCAAATATAAACAACCAAATGTGCTAAAAAAAGCTATTTTAACAAAATTAAAAGGGAATATACTACAGTCAGTATTATCTATAAAGGTAAAAAAAATGTATTGCACAAAACACTTAAATGCTAATTAAAACTGCTTTATTTATTCTTTAAAACCAATTAATATATTCATATACCATTTAATATTAATATTATGAATATTATTGGTTATTCGATACCTGTTGATGCACCACAAATAATCTCCTGCTGCTTTTGGCAACTGAAAACGTTTTTTTTTTTTTTTTTTTTTTTTTTTTTTTTTTTTAATTTAGAACAGATACTTTCTGGAAAACGCATTCATAATGGTATCGAGCAAACTGTTATTCTTCGCAGCTTGCATCTACCTCCATATGAACTTTGATTAGTTTAAAAAAACAAGTAAAGACCTTCTACTACACTGCCTCTTATTCCTCCGTTTTTTGCTAGCCTCCCAGCGGTTGAGCGGTTAAGTCCCTGCCGACTGGTAATTCGACCTGGTTTCGTTTCTAGGCGAACAAGCTGGCTGCACGGGCGTTTTCATGGTTTCCCCCGTCTGTAACGCGCATGCGAGACAGTTTTGCTTAGAAAGTTCTTCACGAAGGTATCCCTCCTCTTAGGCAGATAGCTCTTGAGTGCTTTGCCATAATCAAAAAATCAACCAAACTTCCATTTTCATGATCCTCACATGCTTCCGTTTGCGTGTAATCGCTAGTCTTGGTGTCGACATTTACAATGCAATAAGAAATGAAGCTAATCCCCTTAGCCTCCCAAAGCCGAGAGAGAGAAGGAGGGAACATTAAAAAAGGAAAATAAAGAGAGAGAAATAAAAATCTTGTCTCCGAACACTCATGATAGTTAGATTTTTCATGGCAATGCATCGGCTGTTTTCGGATACAAGCACCAACTTTTCTGTTCCGCCTTGTAAAGGCTAAAAAGATTTAAAAAATACACGAAATAATTTTCTTAATATCTAATTTATGATTATTATAAGGGTACAAAATTTTACGTACAAAATTTTAGGCATTTACGGGAGAAAAGTTATGTAAGATGGCATCAAAATTGGTTCACGTTTAGGTGCAAATTCATAATTTAATTTAATTTAAATATTATACACAATTTTTAACAGCTCTATAAAGTCCATGTGTTTATTTATCTCTCACGTTGTTTCCTTCGCAGAAAGTATTTGAGTTTTGCAGAAACGCACTTACCTTTCTATGTTAACAAAATTGAAACTTCCTATGCTGAATAAAAATTAAATCGTTTCACAGGGTAAATGATTTCTATATAAAGAAAATGAGCTCTTCGAAACAACGGATGTTGTCATGAGTGGAGGGGGGCGAGGAATTTAAGAAAAATTATGTACTACAATTGCAGTACATTCAAAATAAGAATTCGTAATATCCTAGAAGTTTTGGCCAAACTTTTTTCCGTTCTGTCTCGCTAGCTGCTGAACGTTAAGATAGGGAGATCGCAGACCACTGGTAGTTTGATCAGAATTTAAATCCCTATGGACAGGTCGGATACCTGAGAATTTGGATTCTCGCTGTATAACATGAATATGAGCCAGTTTCCGTTAGAAACTCTTCCAAGAAGGCATCCATTCTTATAGGCAGATAGTCGTTGAATTGATTTGATTTAATCAATTAACCTCCTTGTTTCTGACTTTCGAAGAGTAAACTCACAAAATCTGCTCCTGACTTCAGAGAATAACCACTAATATTTGGCAGTTTGACTTTCTTCACGTGATTATCATTAGGCATATGCAAAGGCTGATTTATGAGGTTTCGCAGTTTAAAATTCCTCGTGGCCCAAGCTCCAAAGGACCCGAAATCATCTATTAATTTTTAAGAATAGTGAATATATGTCATAAGTCGAAGGACTACCAAAAAATTCAAAAGAAATGGGCACCAGGCTTCAGGTCCTCAAGCAGGCATATTATTTAAGTGAAAGTATACAAAACAACTTCGTTAAAGCAGGTTTCGGAATAAGTTCTACTGCCCCCTTTTTACAAAATCTTATCTTCGTTAATATAATGATATTAACAGATTTGAGTTTTTTATTTTTATATTAGATTTGAGTTTATTATTTATATGGAAAAGTTTTCGGTTAAAACAAAAGCCACTGTTATTTCTCAAGATCAACACTGTTATTTCGTGAGCTGTTTGCCTAGTTTATTTAAAAATTCTTAATGAAAAATTCCAACTTTTCATTAGACAATAATTTGGGGAAGCTCTAATTGAAGTCACAAGTCTAGTACCGGAGCAAAAGAATATGTACCTTTAAAGCAAAACTCATATTTTTTACGTGATTGCTGATGACAGGCTAACTACTGAAATGAAATCAATTATAATTATTTAAACAATGGTCTAAAGGCAGACAGGGAGAAAAGAGGTAAGGTGATATGAATATAATATGCATACGGCAAAGCATGCAAGAACTATATGCCTAAGGTATATGATGCCTTTGCGGATAGATTTGTAAGGGTGTAGACTTAACAATCTTACTTGTTTTAGTAACATACCCTAAGACCAGACTCTAAATAGAATTAAGCGAATTATCGCTAAGTCTCAAATGCAAACAGAAGCGGAAGAAGATCCTTTTATTAAGAACTCAAATAATAGAACAGAATGCACTCTTGGTGCTTATAAGACCAGCCAGCACTTACGGCGTAAACTCAAAAGTAAAGAATTTAATCTAAATCTGACTTAAGGTAGACGAAGACTCCCCTGAAATATTTAACGCACAAGTTGGCTCAAACCTACACCGGCGGGACAGCACTATTAGCAAGACCCTAAACAGTAATGCTATCGTAAAATATCATTTATTAACATGGCCTTCAGCAGACGGAACAAGCTCTAACTAAAGCAATCTCAAACTTCCCTTTTAGCAATATCAAACTTCCCTTTAAATACCGTCTCCTTCTACTTTATTTAAATACTTGTGAGCTGAAATTTGCATTCTGGCAAGAAAGCGGAAAGAGAGAAGTGATGGTATAGATTCTGAACATAAAATAACTGGTTAATTTAAATGAATACCTTACAAGGAAAACTAGTTGTTGTACACATTACTCATGAGGATAACCACGAAAAAACTTATGCAGCCAGACAGTCCGCCGGAGCTCCAACCTATCTCGAATTACATCTGTTCAGTAGTTTTAACTATTCGATCACCATTGGACCAGCAACAAAAGAGAATGGATAGGGGTAAAATTCGTTTCCATAGGCAAAATAAGGAGGAGTCTATATTTGATATGCAACGTGAAGATTATGGATTATTTATGGAACTTCCTAATATTATTTTTCTATAAATATAGCACATAAAATTTCAGGTTTCTGTTATAATTAGCGTCAGTTGTTGCTTACATTAATAAGAACTTCACAAAATTTTCCAATTATTATCATTTCCCACAATTTGTCACTAATATAACTTTTTATATAATCTCCTCAGTATAGAAATACTAATTAATGAAATACTCATTATGCTTTGATAAGTTAAGAAAACAAGCTATGTCTTTACGTGCAAAATTCATGGAGATACAAATGATAAATATTTTTACCATAAATGAAGAGCTAGGTACAAATGACGAATGATGTTTTATTCAAGAAGAAGCTATTAATGAACTAAGTGACTATTTTTTGGTTTGGAATTTCTCCCTAAACTACTGAAAAATCTTTAGTTTAAATCGCAAGAAGCACGCAAAAATAGCACAAATCAAGAAATTAGCTGTGAAATGTTTTCCTGAATTTTTCTTGTAAAAGTATGAAACGTTTTGTTTTATTTAAATTTAAAAGTAATGAATGTATCATAAACTGTTACTTTTGCTTTGCGGAGACCATATAAAAAGTTAGATTTTACGAACTTTTTATAAACCCCATGCCGTCTCAGTCGTCAGTGCTGAAATTGTTTCCATAGTATTTAGGTACTGATTAAAAAAAAACACCTTTACGCTTAGAAGTATATGTGTTTATACGTATTCTTTCAGAATTTAATAACATTATTAGTCCAAAGGGGCTTTGTCCCTGCGGGACTGTTGTTTCCGTTTTGCGATTTCGCGTCGAATCATTCTGAATGTCCGTTTTACTTTTCAAACTGTTGCCACCAAACATTATCGCCCTGTATTATATTTGAAGAAATTAAATAATGAAGAATATGTATAAAATGTATGTATGTTTCTCGCATTGTGATAAAGCAACGGTACTAGAGGCATCAAATTTTGAATGACGTAATTCTACTGCGAATATGGGCATCTGAAAGCACAAATTTGAAATTTGGAATTTGTTTTTTATCGATTTCATGTTTGTAAAATTTTAGCGCATTTTTGAGTAACAAACTCAACGATTTTAAAAGCGAGCGATGGCAACACTCTAATGGGGAAAAAAACTTTTTATCTCCAGCGCGCGAACTGTGTATCGGAAATTCTAAAGATATGTTCATTTTAAAATTATTTTGCGATATTGCTCTTGAACTGAATTTTATGGTTTAAGTGCGAAGAACATGGCATTTAATAAATAAACGTAACACACAAAATGTTAAAAAAACGCCCCTTTGGACGTAATTTAAAGTCTGAAACCTTTCAGATTTCCTTTTCTTTTTCTTTTTTTTTTTTTATTATACTATGGAAAACTGTTTTGAAAGAATTAGAACTTAAATTCTTCCAGCAGAGTATTTCTTTGAAGTTTGTTTCATATTATTCCTTATCAAGTTTGCTTTGATTCCTTTCCAGTGTCTCTTTGAAGTAGATGACTCACTACTTATTTATGGAAAACTGAAAACGGAGCACCAAAATCACATTTCTATTATGTGAAAGGGAAATGAACAACCTAAAATGTTAAATTCAGGCTCCATAAAAACAGTCAGACAACATATTTCTCTGTCCCAGTCCTTCAGTAGTAGAAGAAGTTGTCGAGTCATTAAGTTTAAAGTTAAGGAGGCAGAAAATACCGTACTTTTCCCAAACTTAAAAGCCGACTGGGAAGATGGCGACCCAGTGGCAAAAGTCAGGTGGTGAGGTATCGTTTAATACCTTATAAAGTAAACCCAAATCGGACGAAAAATTAAAACAAACCTTCTTATCAGACCCTCAATCTAATAATTTACGAAGCTCGCGTAATAACGGAAGGTTCCGCCACTTGTAGGTTAACAGAACTCAACATTAAAGGAAAACTTAAGTATTTCAAAATGTGGAAATTTACAGGACAAATTGTTTCATTCAGACTTTTGACACACATATATGATACTCTTGACACATATATAAGACAGAAGCTGGGCGAAACTGGTATTGATATGTTTAGCGTTCGCTGCCAAAAGCTTTCGCTTAACTTCAAGCACTATGTTCCTATATACCTACTTTAACTAATTTACATCCTGAAAGGAACCGGCAAAAGTAAAAGTGATAACGTGGATAAAATAATAATAATGGGGTGAAATATAAAAACGTTTGAACTTTATCGCCGCTTTTTGAAGCTTCTCATGCATGTTATATAATATAAGTGATAGGACGCAAGCCACTCGATTGCTTGTATAATTCAATTGACAGTTCCAAAATGTGCATAATGGAATAAGGGTACTTCTTGATTGATAAGACTGACTGGGTTTCCTCAAAGATCTACAAAAGAAGAGGAATATGCTACCAACTTACTATTTTTAGGTAAGACTTCTTAATTTCAGTAGCTTCTTGAGTTAAAAAACTAAATATGATATCTAGTGCGAACTCTTAAAAATATATATTTATTATTAAGAAACTAAAATTAAAGAGAATTTAAACTTTCTCTTTATCTCTGCAGTGCAACAAAATTTCATTACAACCATTAGATTTCGTTCTGGATGTTATAAGATAGAGTACGCGAGAAGTAATATTAGAAATATTGCAACCTACCAGTTACAGGGTGCTAGAATCTATTTTAAATATGATACATATAATATAAAATAACAGATATAGCAAAATATTGTTAAAAGGTTAAGGTAAAATAACTTTCTTTGGATGATAAAATTTACAGTATAGTGATAAACAGGCTTTGAAAATACAGAAGATTTAAATAAAATATCTTATGCGTCGTATGCTAACCAGAACTATTTATCACAAACTCGAATTCGCTAAAGAAATCAATAAACTTTTTACATCAAAGAGAGTTTACGCTTAGTTTCTTACACCCGAGAAATTAATAATTCGAATTAAGTTTCACATTTTTTAGCACATTAATATAAAACACTGTTTATTGTACTTCTTTCTGTTGTAATGCATCTGAATAAAATTTGTCAGTCTTTCAAAATTTTCAAAACGCAAAAGAAGTGTTAAGAAAATAATTACACTAATGATAAAAGTACAAAAAAATTTATAAAATGACAGTTATTTTACAATAAATTACGGAATTCAAAAGAAATAATATTTTAGATTTATGATTTTCATAATTCATGAGTGAAGTGAGTTTAATAAACTGATTTGATTCCCCTTTAACACTCCATGTTTATCAGATACAAAAGTACACAACATCATTTCTTCAAGGAACAATGAAGTGTAATGCAAGCAAATTTAAAACGTTAAATTATTTTTATAAAATAAAAGTTCACATTATTTTAAAATTATTTTCGTAGCCCATGAAGTTTAATTAATTAATTTCTAGTGTTACATATGGTATTAAGCTAGATGAAGAAAGATGGTGGTTCTAAATAATACAGTGCGTTTTAGCGGAATGTTACTCTTTTTAATGGATTGTAACTGTGTTGTTATTGTAGTATGGGAACTAGGAAACAGCAACAGAATGTAAGAAGTTTAGCATGTTGCATCACTATTGTCTCGAACTGTTGCTCTTGTGTCCTAAAACTTAACATGCATGTAGTGTATGTGAAAATAAACAAATGGTCATTAATTCAGAACAAAAGATTGTTTTATTAAGAAGTTATGACATGAAAAATGTTGCAAATCAGTGAGTAGTATAGCCACCTCGTGCAGCTATACAAGCCGAAACACAGCGTGGCATCGAATCAAATAGGTCACCTATGACCCCCTGCCGAATCTCAAAACATCTGCCACGCGAATACGCCTCGCGCAGAATGTGGGCGAGCGTTGTCTTGCTGATAAATGACACCTGGGCAATTTGATAGCATAGGCAGTACAACCGGCGCTAAAATATCGTTCACGTAACTCCGACCCTTCTTAGTGGTTTGAAGGAAGACTAGAGGTGCTCGTGTGTCCCAATAAATCACTTCCCACACTGTCACACCTTGTGTAATTGCCGTATGCCCTCGACAACAAATGCCGGATCGGACCACTGAGCTGGTCGCCTCCATATGCGTGTGCGTTAGTCATCAGCACTGAGACTGAATCGGGATTCATCGCTGAAGATCACGCGCATCCAGTCGGTCACACTCCAGCTTGCCTGAGTTCGTCAAAAATCCAGTCGATAATGCCTATGATTTGAGGTCCAGTGGTAGGCGTCTTAATGGACGTCGTCAGCACATACTAGCACCGGCTAGTCATTTATGAATGGTTTCCCTTGATATCATCGGATGGCTAGAAGGTCGATGGTAGCAATGATCGACCGATGATAGCGTCGAATCGATGATAGCGACGTTATTGGTGCGGAAGAGGCCGCTCTTATGATTGCGCGACCCTTATGCTGATTTGTGTTCCTGGGGCACCTTTGGCCTCTGCGACGGTAAACTATCCCTTTCGTGATCCATTGTCGCCAGTCACGAGCAACTACCATATCGACAGATTCGTTCGAATAGCCTTACGGCACGAGCAGTCATGCTTTTAAGCTCTTCCAAATGCTCATCTCACATGCGCATAGCGCGTTTACCCTTGTCTCATTGACAATTTTAATCATTTGCATATCTCTTACCAGTCGAAATTTTAATCATTTGTATATCTCTTACCAGTCGAAATTTTAATCATTTGCATATCTCTTACCAGACTACATTCCTGCATCATCGCAATCATTGCGTGATTGCGATTCGATTTCTTATGGGAATATATATATTGTGACAGAGTGTATAACATGATACAAAGTAATGGTATAAAGTACAGTGAGGAAGATGGCTTAATTAAATTAAATGAGAGCCAATAATTAAATAATGGCCAATTCAATTACTATAACATAAAGGAAACAGAAGAGCTACAAAATACTATGACATTAAGACGCTGATTATTCACAACTTCCAAACGAGCGTCACGACCGAAATCAATAATGACATATTAATATTCCAAAACATACCTGAGATTTTGACAGAAACATGCGGAAATGTACAAACGTATGTTTCGACTAGAATAGTAGACTCAATCTACCTAAGATGTGATGGGAAATTATTCTCTGATATTAAATTCTCATTTAAATATTGTTTTGATATTGTTCAGACAAGCTTAATTGTCGCCTTTAAAATGTAGGAAATCTCGCTATTAATAATATAACGATACGATACGAGAATTTTTCCAGTTTCTTAAAAGCATAATGATAAAATCACGAAAAGCTGAATAAAAAAATAAAGCATTAAAAAGTATAAATATATTAAAATTTTGTTTTCATGTTAGACCTTATTTTCATAGGGGACGAAGCACAAAAATACACAAATTTATATTTTACAATTTTCTTTTATGCATTTCAATTTTACTTATTTATACATATAAAATACAAAGTAAGTCAAGAAATAACTTTTTTATAATACGTCATACAAGATGAGAGTACTTCTACGAATATTTTAGTCCTGTGAAGAGCGAAAACCTTTTACTGCTTGTCCAATATTGGGAATAAAAATATAGTATAATAATCATACTTGATTCATCAATGAAGTTTATTTGACTTTAATGATGCTGTCTCTGTTCTGTCGTTTGCTCATGTTTTCTTAGGATTGAAGTATACTTAAGCCAGTAGACAAAATTGAAGAATGCAAAAGCAGCGGGAAATAAGAAACGAGAAATAGCATCAATTCGTTGACCTTTAGTCGAATATTTATTCAGCCAGCGCAGGGGTACTGTAGTAAAATTATGAAGCATAGCATCTTTCCTCTGTAGAAAAGATTGAAGAAAAAAACATGAAAATATCACCAATTTTACTAACATTTTTACTATGAAAAATATAAGATCAAATTGTAACTATAAATGCCTAAATATATATTTAAATATAAAGTCTACCACACCTTCTCCCCTGAAAAGCGAGAGGGTAGAAAATTTCAATGCAAATGTGGAAAAGTCTTTAGAATAACTTGAATTTTATAGTTATAAACTAATTGATATTCTAATACTTTCGGTTCATGTTGACGAGGCAGACCAGCGACTAAATAGCTGAGCTTCGATAGTTTGTTTGAATTTCTGTTTTCGACGATTCTAAAAACTGGCTGCAAGAGAGTTTTATGAATTTCTCTATAGATAACGAAAATTGAGTTATTTTGTCTTAGGTATTCTCCAAGAAGACAGTAATTAGACCGATAGCTCCCGTGTGCGTCATCATAGTAATTAATACATTCTAATCAGTCAAACGAAGTGCTCCTTAAACAGCACAAAATCTTCTTTTACTGACTCTAAAAAACATATGATAGATCAAAACAATCATCCGAAAGTAAAACTGTAGTAACCTTTATATTCTCGAAGATATGTTCTATTTGAATGTTCCTTAATTAAAAAAAAAAATTCTTATTATTCGTCCGAACACATGCTGTGAAGATGGGAAACGCTCTGGGCAATTCGTTTTGAAAAAATGTGAGGGTAGGATCTGAAATATTGCTGCAAGTCATTTTTCAGCGAACTGAACTCGCAGAGATAATTCGATTGAATAGACTGCAAGTATACAACGGTGCTTTGGAATAACGGTGATGGCAAATTCTTGATGGCAATTTTTGAATTTCAATCCAAAAACCTTCGCTTCGTATGAAAAACATGGGGACTGATTCTTACATGTGTTGATACCTATGTGAGGTTATACAGCATGTGCCAAAGTCCCAATGTAAAAAGTTGCTCGCACTTCCTTGGAGTTTCGGTGTTTGAATTTGAATCCAGCTACCTTTGCTTTGAAATTGATAGCTTTATAAAGGGGCTTATACAAGTACAATTTTATTTTATTTTGCTGATGTATTAGTCAAGGAACAGATAAAATAATCACAGCAGTTTTATACAAAATCATTTCACTTTAATAAATTTGCCGGCCATATCATGCAAGTGGTTTACTTAAAGGAATCGGCAGCTTAGAGATATCAGCTCTATGGAAAGCAATGGAGCAGGCAACACAAAACCTACTAATCTGACAATTTGCGTATTTAGATGTTTTAAAACAAAAAACCTAAAGCACAGAGGGCTGAAAATATTGGTATACTGCACGATCTTAAGCTGCACCAGGGCGATAACCGCAAGTACATATATGAAGAAAGTGGACATCATATAGAATGAGCCATTTTAACTGATATTGAAAAGTATCCCAAAACCGAAGTGTTTTGGAAAGGAATAAAAGTTACTGACAAAAAGCTAACTCACTTTAGAGCGGGAAAAGAACGTGTCATATTTTATTTAGAAATTGCTTTTAAAGTTGCTTGTAGCATAAAAGTTAAACTAACAAGCAATAACAATTATGGTATATTGATTAGATTGTAGATAATTTTGATGGGCTCTGAAAAACTTCACTAGTGTTCCTTTATCAATTAAATGTAGCGCAATAAATAATTTCATTACTTTACTTGGGGGCCCACCAGCGGCCGAGCGGTAACGTCGCTGAACACTGGTAGTTCGGTCCGAGGTTCGAATCCCGCGAACGGGCTGGCTGCATGGGTGTTTTCGTGGTTTTCCCCATGTGTAACGTGTATACGAGCCAGTTTCCCTTAAAAAGTCCTACACGAAGGCATCCGTCCCTTAAGGCAGATAGCCCTCGAGTGCTTTGCCGTAATCTAGTAAACCAAACCATTACTTTACTTGGTCTGGAATTTGTATATGTTTAACATACTTAAGGAACATATGATCATATATGATAGCAAACATAAGGGGCATATGATAACATACATATGGAATATGTGACACATAAAAAACATATGATCGGCTATATGCGATGGCTTGCCTCCTAAGATAAATTTCCAGTCACCGGAGGTTACCAAGGCGAGTATAGGAAGAAGGTACTTCACAAATTCGTCATCTCAAGCCCTCTTTAAGTAGCCGGTGCAACTCAAAACGGTCGCCACCATAATCACAATCATAACAGCTCCCTGTAGTGTCCTCCAATGTATCTTCCAGTTACTTCGAGATTCAGAAATTTTAGCTTTTTATAAGCTAGCCCAATTAAGCATCTCAGCCAATGAAAAAATTCCACTATGAGAAGAACAACCAATTTAAAAATTTCTCTTGCTTATTAAGCAAACTGAACTGAAATGAATTCTTGTTTAATGAAATTGCTTGCTCATCTTGCAAGAAACAAGTTCTCTGTCGCTACCAGAAACTGATGGAAGCTGTTCACATAAAAATAATCTGATGCAATCTCTCAGCTGTTTTCATAAAAGTCGTAATAATTCAAAAACATACGTTTAATGTGACCTCTTTACCTGTTCCTTTAGCAAAAGTATAGCAATCTAATGTAATGTAGTAAATAATTCCGTTATATTTCCTCAGGCATCATAATTTTGTTTCTCATAAATGTTTCGAAATATTTTATATTTCCATATTTTACTTATAATTGTTTCTTAGACAAATTTCATTTCTTTTCTTTCTTTTATTTATTTACTATAACTGTTTCCTGCAATATCTAGTTGGTGTAGAACAGTGTCTCTTCAATTGTTGATTATATTTTTTCGTAACAAATTTATCGATTTTGCGGTCAAGTTCATATTTCATTGAAAAGCAGTTCTTGTAAATCAACCGATGGTTGACATGTAATAATTTTGAAAAAATTTTGAAGAAAACTTCCGTTGAGCGGCGTAGTCTTTGAGATACCAGTGGGCTTCAGTGCGGGCTATAGGTAGCAGAAATATGCATTCGTGTGGTTGGTCTTGCACCGAGTCTGTGCGCAGTTTAGAGCGATGTTAATGCCCCCGGAGATATGTTTGTATCTGGTATAGTAACGATGTAGGATTACATCTGTAAATTCTTTGGCGAAGTGCTGGTGTTCCACTCACACTGTCCTGCTAGAAATAGAACCAGAGGAAAACTACCAGTGTTTTGCGGCTGTAGCCATTCGGCCACTTGTCTGACTTTAGTTAAAAGATTAATTAATATTGGTTAAAATTATATAAAAATAATGCGATGGTTTTAAATTTTCTCAAATTAAAAATCTGAAATAATAAAAAACTGAATAGCTAAAAATTTCATCATTTGAAATAGATTTTTAATAGTTTGAATATATTTGCTTTATATATGTGAATTTTTAACTCACCTCATCAGCAGAAAGATTTGGTAACTCCAGTCTTTCGTCACTTGCATTTGCATTGTTGACCAGGCAAAGTTCAATTAAAACGCAGAAAACGAAGCAAACGCACATTCCCATCCAGACATCTATGGCTTTTGTAAAAGACACTTGTGGCATACTGGCAATAATGGATGTGTTGACAATGATGATGGATACAAGAATACCAACCCAAATGCCTAAGCGAATGGCTGTCGATCGTGGATTTAACCAGAATGTTATCCAAGAAAGGAAAACCAGGGCAGCTGTTGGTAAGTAGGCTCTCTCAAGAAAATAAATGAAATGTCGGGAGAAAAAGAAATCCAGTTTGAGGCAACTATATTCTCCTATAATGAAATTACAACAAATCATAAGAAAATGCCCAGTTCAAGTATAATTCAATGCATTTAATAAATTACAGTATTGTAACTGAAAGAGGATAAAATTAGTTCTAGAAATAATTTACCAATCGTATAAATTAGGAAGATAATAATAAATGTCTTTAACGTTAAATTCATTAACATAATGTTTGCCCACTGTGAGCGCTCTGAGCAGTTATAGTTCGATAAATGTTGTTCGATAATTAACATGTATTAAATTTGTTCACGTCTTGCACGCAAGACAAAGTTATTTTGTGTCACTGTTCCTGTCAATTTTAAATGCTAAAGGCAATATACAATGGTAAAATTATGTAAAATCTACAAATAATCAAAAATTCCTATATAGGTAATATATTCTGAAATGGATACAGCGGGTACTTGTCTTGGAGAGAGAGTTTTTTTTTTTTTCTCACTGGTTCGGAAACAGAGGAATATCTTAGAAGCCTCGTCACCAGTAGTGCTGTCTGCATCACTTAGTGCACATGATCTTGTAAAATCTGAAAATCTTGAAATAACTTACAAAATAAGGAACAATCAGAAAATGTTGCAAAATAATGGGCGTGAAGAATTTCTACGAAATATGACGAAAATATTAATTTTCGCACGATCTTTGAAATGGCCTTCATGAAATTTCATGGACATTCGTATGACCATGGAGTTTCAAGGAGTTCATGGGCATTCATATGACCTTAACATTTTAAGCAGAAATCAGATTTACATCTGCTACAAAACTTATGGAAATAATCTATTTGAAAAGTAACTGATCGTAAGAGGAAGACGTTATAAGTTTAGGGAATAGCATTCAGATTTACCTTTTCCACAGCATGTAATAATATGTTTCCACAGCATGTTGATAATTAAAATTATAAGGTATTTCTCCCGCCTTCCTAGCATGCCTTCGCGGTCTAGCGGTCAGCACACTCGGCGCGCATTCGAGAAGTCCGAGGTTCGAGTCCCGGCTAAGACACTAGGTCATTTTTCAGCTCCCTGCTTTCAAAATAACTTAATATCTGTACAAAATAACGAAGGCAGTCTGTTACTTAGCTCGTCTTTCTTAATTTTTGTTTTTTCAATTTTAAAAATTTCGTTATTATTCCTGGAAAGTACCCTGCAACACACCTAAGTTATATCCTATGAGAGTAATAAGCTTTATCTGGTAAGAAAAACTGATGTAGAAAAGAAGAAAAGTGTCATCTTTAGGCTAAAGAGCTGAAATAAATATATTCTAACCTGTTGCAGTTCGACTTGTGCAATTATCAGTTTCATATTTGTATAAGTTAAACTTTGCTAAATATACATTTTGTGCCATCTGGATAGGATTATCTTCTTTCCATAAGAAAATTAGGTCTTCAGTTGTGTATCCATCTAAAATAATTAATAAAATATTCAAACATCAGATTACGCTTGTGTGAAACGAAGTTGATAAGCCATGAAAGAAGAAGAGGCATTATAATTTTCAACTTACAGCTAGCACATGATATGGAACATATCTGTTGGTCAAGAGGGTAGTTTTGTAAATCCATTGGGCAGAACAGCTTCAGTGATATCCTATAAAATAAGAATAACGTCTTTTGTACCAATTAGTATAGCGAAAATCTAAGAAAATGGCATCATCAAAAATTCGGAAAACTACTGCTTGTAAAATAAAATATTCAAGCTAAACAGCATACCGCAGAAAACTTCTTCGGATTAACTGCCTTTATGTAAAATTCGGAATTTTTGACGCAGTAAAAAAGAAATGGCCAGTATATGTCCAAATTCAGAAATTACGTTATGTCTCTGGTAGACATTTACTAAGATTATGGTAAAAATGCGAATATATTGTTCTACTTCTCTCTTAAGTCATACTGAATTCATGTATCTCCATATATATATAAAATGCATACATTCTTACATTAACTTTATCCATATTTTTTTGCAACATAGGCAAATTCATCTTTTACAAATGACTCATTTATTTATACAAAATCATGTTAAAGTATCGAAAAGGAAATTTTTAATGCACTAACCTTGTACTGTAAAGAACTTCTCCATTAGGAAAAATTCTTAGGAGATTATTAGGAGTAATAATATTATGAAAATGGCCAGACTTTTCATTACGGAAAAACAAATCAGGTATCCATAGCTTCTCAGGTCTGGTCACTGTTACATAATTTAAACCTCTGTCGTTATATTTCAGTCTCTCATCCATCCATGCTTGTCGAAATGTTAACTGCGTCTCGTATTCCTAATAAAAAAAAGTAAGGAGAAAAGGTTGATATCAATATATTAACAATACGGTAAACTCGAGCTTTAAATTACTGTTTATTAAAATATTTATTTCTTAACCCTTTTTAGTGCTGAATTGAGGTATTTAACTCTTAGCAATTCAATGAATTTATTCAAGTTACTTTTAGGTAAAAATACATCCTTCATAAATATTTATTTTTTTCTTATGTATTACAAGCCCACCAGCGGCCGAGCGGTAAAGTCGCTGAACATTGGTAGTTCGGTTCGAATCCCGCGAACGGGCTGGCTGCATGGGTGTTTTCGTGGTTTTCCCCATGTGTAACGTGTATACGAGCCAGTTTCCCTTAGAAAGACCTCCATGAAGGAATGCCTCCCCTTAGGCAGATAGCCCTCGAAGCTTTGCCATAATTACACACACACACTTATGTATTACAATAAAAGAAGTAATTGTCATTTAAAATTTCTGCTGCCAAATATGAAAGAAGTGAGGTTTTCGTTTTTTAAATAGGTCTATTTTCTATTAAAAATTTTTTTTTAAATGTTTATACTGCATAGAAGCAAATTAAAGGGACTTAATTTGCTTTGACTTAGTACTGCAGTTTAACATCAGATTCCGTATATACGAGCCAGTTTCCCTTAGAAACTCTTCCACGATGGCATCCCTCCCCATAGGCAGATAGCCCTCGAGGCTTTGCCGTAATTAAATAACCTAAAAAAACCTAACATCAGATTCTTAAAAAGAATCGAAACTCAGCAGATACACTGTATATTATATTGATAGTAAACAAATTATTGTGGTTCTCCTATGTCTTTTAAATCCATTTCATAAAATGGGTAAAATTAGCTTTTATTAAAATGAATAATTTTGATATGTGTTTAGCGTCATTATGAAACTAAAGACAAGTATAATAATATTTTAAATAAGTTTCAAAAAAGATCTACAACTGTATTAATGAGAATTACTGAATTAAAATGAATAATTTTGATATGTGTTCAACGTCATTATGAAACTAAACACAAGTATAATAAGATTTTAAATAAGTTTCAAAAAAGATCCACAACTGTATTAATGAGAGCTACTGTTTTGTCACATGTAATTTAATTTTTAATACAGAATATTTTAAAAGAGAATAATTTAACAGAAAAGCAATATTTTATAAAGGAAAATTGGTACTTTCCATTTTCCCACAAAATATGACAGTTAAACTTATTAATTGTTAACAAAATTTAAAAGCTAAATGCTTAAAATTATTTAAGTATGAGCTATTTTTACTGAAAGAAAACACGCACATTTTAAATTTTTTTTTCAATATTTGCATTGCATTAAAGAAAACTAAAGTAGTTTATTTTTCAGTTCAGTATCAGGGGAACTGGAATTCAGTAGACTCATTGTGTTTTAGATAGATGATTTAATAAATTACTGCGGTTCTTGAAAATGCATATTAACTATACATTACATTAGGAAAAATCATAGCTTTTATTAGAATAAATTATATGAATATACTTTGAATTTCATTGCAAAACTGAATACACATTTAAAATTTTAGACAGACGTAAGAAATTTAAAACTGTCTTAATCAACATTACTGTTTCGTCAACTGTAATTTTATTTCTAATATATAATACTGTCAGTAAGAATATTCTAATAAAATAGTAATTTTATAAAGAGAAATCTCGTGTTTTTAATTTTTGTATAAATTTTGACAATTAAATTCACTTAATAGTATGACTAATAAATTTAATCAAATATATAGAGATGAAATTGACTTCTTAAAATATGGATCATATTCACAACTTTACCACATTTTTCGAAATCTTGTCAGTCTATTTTAAAACCGATTATTAGAATACAATTTTTAAAATTATCCGATTTTTGATTTGCTGCAATTAAACAAACTTAATTCACTATATGTTCATTTAAACATATTCTATTGGTGAAATTTATTAATTTTTTTAATTTTACTGTTGGACATCCTTGGCTATTTTCTTTTACTTTTTTGCATCGAATGGATCCACACTTCGTTTTAGCCATGTAAGGACTGCAGGAATTGAGCTACATTAATGAGCAATTTAGGTACTACATTTTGTTTGAACTAGATAAATGAGCAACTTAGCTGCTTCATTTTGTTTAAATAATCAGAATATGTTGATTTATAAAGAGTGTTCAGCTTCGTTAAAACTTTCATTGCGTAGATTTGATATGTAGCTGCCTCGTGGAACCAACTGCCTGACGAAAAGCTACGAGTTAAGCTGCATTTCGTTCTAACTTTTGCATTACTTTGGTTTATTCTTTTGTCTTTCCCTTTCTTCTTATTAATTTACAGTATTAAGTTACTGCTGTCAGGAAAAGCTTGGGATTGTACACTGTAAAGGACTGCAAATTTACTCTATATAAACTCAAATAGTTTAAGTAAAAGGAAAATTTACTTCAAAAAACTAAAACATGAATTATGCTCCGTGAGTTGCATTAATTCAGAGGCAATTATTATGAAAATAAAAAAATAAACTAAACAATTACAGGGTCAGTTTGGAATATACACATAATACGTGTATGTTGTGTGTGTTACACAAAGTACAAAAATTAGAGCTAATGCATTTAAATAATAAGAGGTGAGATATAAATAGTAATGATACACACTATGTCATTGCGATGACTACACTCAATTGTCATGGGACATATATTTTGTTGGAAGCCAAAAAATTACTTCATTCTTTTCTGAGAACAGCAATTAAAAAACACCTTACAAGAACTTTACACCAAAAGGGCATATTTTGTTATCTTAGCAGACTGAGCTACACAAACTTGAAATTACCCTAAGATGAGATAGGAATAGATTCTAAGATTAAGATCAGATAAAAATAATTATGTAGAGATGGTAACTATCATTACACAGAACACCAGAATATCTAGAAAAAAAAAGTTTTCTTTCTCGGATTATATTATTAGAGAGTCAGTAAATTAGAGATTAAAAAACATTTCTCGGAACAAAATGCGTTTTGAGAAAGCAGGAACAAGGGGAAAGAGATTAAGCAACATACTACAAAGCGTTCGTTCAAATATTTAGAACATGTTAAAGACTACAGGCGAAGACCAATGTATCTCCAGGAAGCATTTGCAGAGTTCTATATGAGAAAGTCCTATGGGACTGATGGAGATTTGAAGCTTGCAAAAATGAAGGCTCATTAAAAAAGGGGAACAAAAAAGTGTTACCGTTTCCTTAATACACTGGGGACAAAAAATCCCAGAGCCTTTGGAGCTAAAAAACTGATTAAAAAAAACCATGCAGCCTTCAATAAACGCAAACTAAATACTATGAATGGGAATTCTAGACTTCCTAGCTCCGAAGCGAGGCTGCTGCCCTGTACATCTCTTGGGATTTCAGGCTCAAAGCCTTCATTCTGCATATGCGTTTTTCAGTTTTTTTCAAACACTTTTTTTATTCTTTTCGTTTGTCTAATAAAATTCACTCATTAGTACTAAAACATTTAAGAACTATTTTTTTTTAATATTCATCTCCTCTATAGTACTAATAAGAGAGATTATTCCTCAAATAAATTTGTTTTTGAGCATTGGTAATTGAAAACTGTTTCATTAAAACCTGAAAAAAAAGTTAAGCTTTTGATCCTTAAAAAATTATTTTAGAGGCCAAATAGCTGATATTATTTTCATATGTATTCTTATTCCTATGCAGTTAATGTCTAGCATTCTTGTTACATAAAATGTGGTAAATTCTCAAGAGATACATCTAAAATAATTCCAAATCAGAATTTTATGAAAGATTAATCAGTTGGTTGCTACGTTTGATTTCGTGTTTCTTATCTCTTAAGCTGTATTTGTTTTACCCCACTGCGCCGACGTAATTTTATACTTGTGCTCTTAAAACTTCAAATATTTTCCCTCGGAGCTTAGGGTTCTCAATGACGTGAAGTTCGTGCCAGAGAGATCCATCTCAGCATGATTATATAAAATAGCTTAATTTCTAAGAAACTGATTAACGAAAAGAGTTACACACATTGCTTTAAGCAAGCATTGTTAAAAAATGGAATATAAAAAAGATTTAAGTTTCAATGTTTGCTAATTTCTTAAAAGCTTTGATAAATTTCGGTTTTAATATGGTATTCGGAATCCAATCTGATATGAATCATCAAATACTCTCTGAACTGTGAAAAAACATTACTGTTAAAATCTTCAAAAATCAAAAACAATTTATAAATTATTGTAAACGGTCCTGCTTTCGCCTCAGCATTAGCTGTTAAAGATACCCCTATAGTTTTCAATTCAAATGTTTTTTGCATCATTTGCGGTATGAAATTTCTCTGAGTATGCTGCAAAATCCTGCTTACTTTGATTAACCGGAAAAGTGAAGAAAATAACATTGAATCAGCGAGTCCGGAAATAAGTCGTCTTCTGTTTTTAAAAACACTTTTAACGAAAGCAATTATTAGAGATTAAGATATTAAAAAACATTCTTTTAAGGTGTGTTCTGTGGTTTAATAATCATTACTTCCGGTTGGTTATCGGAAAACCATAGTTGGTTCCCTGCGAATAGATCGGAGCTATTGGCTTACTTTCTATGCCGTATGAATGCCCATGCCCTTATATTTTTCCTAAATTTTCATTCCACATAATAATTGAAGAGCACATTTTGGATTTCAGATCTGATTTCAATTTCAATTTTTTAAATAATTTTTTTTACTTACAGTTTTTACATTTATCCCTTTCAGATTTCTAAACTTTTCATAATACTTTCTTGTTATTACACAATGTATTATGTGCATAAATAATAAATTATACTCTCCTCATGATTAAAAAAATTATCATTTATTAAAAGAACTGTGAAAAAATAATTGAGCAGAACCAAGGTGAATGCGGAAAACTCCCTCGTTCCAGCATGCCTTCGAGGTGTAATGGCGTGTAGTCCAGAGGTCCATTGCACATTTTTCACTCCTGTTTGAAAATAACCTAATGGTTCTCCAAATTCTTAAAATGAATCCTATAAGTGAATGCTAGATTTTTATTTTGCGTGTTCCATGTAAAAAACGGCTCGCTTGATTTGCATAGGAAAGCCCTCTATATTATCTGCATATCACAATAGTCACCTTTACAGATTCTGAACAGAGCTCAAACAAAGAAAGCTGTAAATAACTACCGTTAATCGTAATTTATTTCACAAACAAACTTGGTGAGACAAACAAAATAGTTCACAAACAAACTTGGTGAGACAAACAAAATAGTTCACAAACAAACTTGGTGAGACAAACAAAATTTCACAAACAAAATAGTTCAGGAGATGCTCAGAATGTCTTATTCAGACTTCTAGGCATTTGTTGGCATGTGAAATCATATTATGAATTATCCTACGCAACGCATAAACATCCAGTGCCGTGGCATTAACGAATGTTTTCTTTAAGCTGATCAACCGTTTGGTGGATATTTTCAAAGGTTCCGCCTTTCAGGATAACCGAAGGATTAATCTCACAAAAATTCAGCTGTGGGGACTGGACAGCCATATACGCTTGCTTTCTAATCGACTTTTTGCAATAACATGCTAATTAATGTAGCGAAAATTACGCCAGCTGGGGAAATAAGAGACAAAGTATACTCCAGTCCAGCTGAGCTAGTTTTAAACGGAGCATAATGTATAGATTAGGTTAGATTATTTGAACATGGCATAACTCACAAGGGCTATCTGCCTAAGGGGCGAGATGCCTTCCTGGAGTATCTCTAAGGGAACTGCCTCACATTCACTTTACATATGGGGGAAACCTACCATGTAGCGAACCCATTCGTCTGGGATCAAATCCACGTCGGCCTCCCAGCATTTAACTGTCTTAACCACTTGATCACTGATGGGGCTAACAATAATATAAGAAAGGATAGTGTAAAACATCACACAAAATAAATTGACAAAATAATTGTTATTGAAACATAATGTTGAACATTGTTAAAATAATGTGTTAAATTATTTACATTAACATGCTACTAAATTTTGGAATAACAACTATTATCTTAATGTATTTATAACTAATGGAAATCTAATGCCGCATTTTATGCACGTCGCGTGCCTTTATGTAACAATTTATGGAATTCTTTCCATCGTTGATTGGAAAAACGGGTTTTGCTTTTCCATATTACTTAAATAATAAATCCATTTGAATTTAGTTACTATTTATTACTTACGTTTTTAAATTCTCATATAATTAATCATTGAGTTAAAATCAGAAGTGTATCTATTTTTGATATAATGATTGGATTTAAGATGACTCGATCAGCTGCTGATAGATATAAAAAACAAAATTTTTAGGCGCATACAACTGTTATACCTGTAACTACTTTAATAAACAAGTTTAAATTGAATGTTACAGCTTTCCTAGAATATTAGAGCCTTCGTATTCGAGTTAATTTTAGACTCGGTGTTTAGTTCCTAATCAGTAGTACTAGGCAGCGATTATTTACAGAAGTTCTTATATAAACCTTTGCGGTAAACATTTTGATTTTATGACATTATTTTGTTAATTTTCATCATTTTTTTATTTCAAACAAAGTATAGAATATTAATAGAAGCTTATTCCATGTCAGCAGACTAGAATTTAAGATTTAGGAGATCAGTTTCAAAAATTTAAACTTAATGGTTTAATTTACAAATATATTCGCGAATTGCATCCTTCATTTCAATGCTAATTAGTTTTAGTTAAAGGCTTTCAAGTTTCGTACTTACTTTCGGGTAGAGTAAAGTAACTTTGATTGTTGGTGGTATCAGATTTTGGTTTTATTCAGGATATTGATTTGAATTTATTTTGAATTTTGATAAGCTCCAAATCTGTTCATGTATTTATAGTGATGCTTTAGTTGCTTAACAGGCTGCGGTGTTTCTAATTTTATATTATGAAACAAATGTCTTTAACATACTGCTATTTTTTTAATTGATGTGGTATCTATAAAAATAATTTTATGATACATTAAAACATTAAATATCTTTACTTTTACATTTACAACTTTTTGATATTATTTTACGTGTTGTTGACTGAAACATCAAAGTATCATAATCCCAGAAGTTCAATTATTGAATCACATCACATATGACATGAATAGAAATTAAATAGATTGTAGATAACTTTCTTGCTGCCTTAGATGTACATTGTTATTTTCGAAGCACAGGTGCCATTGCATAATTACGTAATAATAACCCATAATTGCGTAATAATACCAGTTATAGTTTTGGGGATTATATTTTAAAGGATTTACACTATTGTGAATACATATGAATGGCTCCATTAACCTTTAAAAAATTTTAAGTTATACTTTTAAGACCTTAACTTTCACGATACGGCCTATTTATATATATATAGCTTCAGGACAATAGACCTAAACTCTGTAGTTACTGTGGTATATTATACTGCTTTGCGAAATTTTCTGTACAAATCTTCTCTGATATTTTTACCAGTAGCTGTAATAAAATCAGTAGAGTTTCATTTCGCATAAATATATAGCTTTTTAATACGTGAAACAATTTTTTTTATCTTACCATTTTCACATCATCGATGTTATTTATACTTCTCACAAAAGTATTCACCTTTACTATCACAGGCCCTGAAAATAATTCATGAGGAAATAAGATTATATATACCGATAATGCCTAAGTAGTTGAAAGAAAGAAAACTTTAGCATCTAAAACAGTGATTACTAGTAAAAACTAAGAGCAGACTTAAATGTTTTTTTCTTCACAAATTAGATAAGAGCTGGAGCAAAACTCCTGATGTACTTCAAGATGTTAAATGCCAATAGATTACCATTAGAAAACAGATTTTTATGGACATTGGGAGTTCATAATCTATGGGTAAACATTCCTTCAAAAATCAATGGTTAATAAAAAAATTAATTTCAAATTTATCAACAAAACATAAAAAGAGGGGAAAAGTTAAAAGTTGCTTTTTACTACTAAACTTGACTCAAAATGGATAAAATTTTATTAATATTTCAATGGAAGAATTATAGTGAAATTACATTACCAACAGCTTCGAAGAGCGGTTTTCTTCGAGAATATCAGAGTCTCAGGCTCTTCTGGCACGTTGTATGCGCGTTACGAAATTTCTAAATTGTGAGGTTTTGATAAATTTTGATTATCTTGAATTGAAAATGTGAGATTTTTTAACCCTATTATAGAAGCAAAGTAGTTTAATATTTATATCCAAGTTCTTTATAAAAGGACTCAGTTTTCAGTTTGCTCTTACAAATGAAATTATTTTATATTTTCAATTGCTCCGTAGAGGTTAGATCTTACCTGAAACAATAGTATACAACCATGTTCAGTTTCTTTAAATTCAGAAGTCTTCCCACACTCCTCAGAACATACATGTTTATATTTTGGCTTCATTTGAAGAAAGTACATTTGTGTTCTCAGAATACGAAATGAGTGTAAACTTATTCAATGATGATTTCCCGTAGTTAATACTGCACTAATGCTATATTGTGTTATCGGCATCCAAAACTTCAGAAATTGCTGCTTATTTACGAGCAGTTTCTGCACATTACTACTACAACAGCATGCCTTAAAATGTAATACATTTTCTACATGGAGAACTCTTGGAGATTATAAGTACATCTAAAATTAAGTCTAAAAATTTCTGAAAATCAAAATCACAGCTGCAGTAAGGATAAAGTATGTTACACTTGCAAACAGCTCCAAAAGAGCAAGGCACAGCTGCTGATATTACACTGCACGCGTTCAAGCGTGTAGTGGTTTTACTCTGCAAGCTTCATTTAAATGTGTCTGTTACTGCAAATGAATTTTATTCCAGTTGCAATAACTTACGCTTGTTGATGAAAGTCTTTTAAAGGAAATGTTTTTGTTTGAACAGCTTTAGCTTCAGTTAAATAGACATTTTGTCTAGCTTAGAATTTCCAGGTAAGAAAGTACATGCATGTTAACACACAAAATGATTAGAATTCGAGAGTTATTCTTCCACTTAATAATAAAATCATATACAGATTAATTATACTACGAAATGCTGGAAGTTCCAGGTAGCAAAAAAAGGTTTTTGCACTATTTAATAAAATTGCTTTAAAAATGTGTGATAAATCATTCTGATAAATGTGAAAGCTAATAAATAATGTTATTATAATTGAAAATTTTAAATTATTTAAGCAACCGGAAGCATGAATCATATTTTAGAAGAAAGTAGAAACGTATATAAGTCACTAAAGGGGACAGTAAAAAGGCAGGAATCTATAAGAAGGGCTAAAGCAAGTAAGTACAAGAAGAATTCAGTTACGTTATTTATCTTCTAAATATACACATTAATTAAAGGTAATATTCAGATGAAAAGAGAAAATTTGATTTACCACTCCCGTTCTTGCCAGATGGGCGAATGCTAGGATCATATTTTTGAAATATTTGATGCAAAATCCTTTTCTCTGTTTCTTGACGAGTTTCTGACCTAAGGTTAATAATTTTATTCAATATTTAGGTGTTCAGCCATAGACTGTTAAATATTTATATCACAACTAGTACTTACCTCACGAAATAAAGCTGAGATGAAAGAGTGAAAAGAACAGTTATTTGAATCCAAACAGTCATTTTAGTCTGCTTTTATGCTTCCTAAAAGACAATTAGAAGTTCCATTTATAAAGCTAAATGCATTTCTATTATACTTTGCTAAGTGAATAAGGAATATCTTTAGCACTAGTAGCAAATATCAAAAGGTAATCATGTATTAACTCCAGCTTTATTATTAAGGAAAGGAAGAATATTTTTGAAAATAATAGCTTCATATTTTTTTATATAATGTTTTAAATAAAATTTTAGTTGCTTAAAACGCTAGAAAACAAGATTCACCTCATTAGCTATTATAGTACTTATTAAGATTACAAATGCTTAACAGAATTTGATTGTGTATTTGCAGAATGTTTCACATTTTTGGGCGGTATATGAGTATGAAATGGTACTTAATTTGATAAAATGAATCTTGCATTTTATAAATAACGTAGAAGTATATATGTGTGTAATAAACTGACACAGTGAAAACATATTCGTTTAACTATGGGACGTTTTTCTGTAATTTAATTGCATCGATTAACAAAAAGAAATTTTGTTAATTATATTTAAGAGCATTTCGTTTCAGAATAGTAAAAGAACGTTGGAAAGGAAATAAAGAAACTGATTATTTTCATACCTTTTAAAACAGCTTCATTAAAACTTTCGATAGGTAATAAAAATTTAATATAAAGGTAAGCTTTAACATTATGAATAATTTTGCGTTGTCATTAGTCAGGGAATGGGAGACATTAATAATTGCGCAAAACATTGAATTTTAAATGGTTTTCAAACTAAGCATGTCTATTACGTCTTTTGCCTACTTCATTTGAATATTTGAATATTTGAGTATACATAGGAATAAAGATTTTGAAAAAAAAATATGGTTTATTTCGGGGAAAAACTGAGTATTAATACTGATGTATAATATCAACGACCAAACCTCAAACTAAAACAAATTAAACAAAATAAAATAAACCTCATAAAGTATTACTGGAGCTTTGTATAAAAAAATTTTGTAAATTATTTATTAAGACGCCTAGATTAAAGAATTTAAATTCAGGAATTTTATAAAATAACTTTAAAAATGCGTACCTTATTTTTCGTAATCTTTAGAATCCCAAATCTCATAAGAAATCCTTCGAAAAAATAATTATTGGTACTTTTAATATTAAATATTTGAAACTTAAACATGCCTGTTTAGTAGCTCATTTATTTACTTATTTAAGGAACGTGAAAAAATCTCAACTAATATATTTCTTAAATTACTATAGTTAACATCGAAAATTAAACAATCAAGCATCTTATTATAATCAACAGTACAGCAATGCAATAACAGTCTCTATATTAATTTAACAGAATTTTGTACATTTTACTAGGTCTGTAATACTGAAGGAGTTAATCATGACATAATGCAAAACGAAGAGCATATTACAATAATGCTATTTATTATTAAGTAATATACTATAAGAAAGAAATTCAATAAATAATCTATATCAGATACAATCAAATTGACCCACATCTTCTATAGTGATTACAATTACATTTAAAAACGAAGTTAAAAAACTGTCTTAAAGTCTTATTACATTGAAAGTTTTACTTCTGGCGCAAATGCTTGAAATCCTGAAGATAGTATAAGTGTAACAAGTTTAAATCATAAAAATGGTATTAGCTTACAAGAAATATATAGATAAAAATGTAATTTTTAATATATTAACATAATATTTATTTTTCTAATGTGGTTCACTAAACTGAAAGACACTTAAATTGAAAACTAAATATAATGAAAATGATAAATGTGTTTTGACATATAATCTAAATTTACTAGAAACTGTTTTATTACTTCATAAGCAAAAATATAACCCGTTTATTGGTTTTTTAAAAGCAAATAATATTGATTAGTACTTACTTTAGTGTTTGGATCTAGAGTCAAAAAACAAAGAATGCGAATCATCTTGCTTCAGATTATTTTATACTCTCTTGTACGGATACTCAATTTAATTAACTTTCCTCTCAAGGACAGTTTCATTATTGAAGATATATTTTTTATAGCTCCTCATTACTGCGAAATGATTCGAGATGTTGATATTCATATGGAAGTCAGGCGAAGAGGAAATTATTTTTTCACCGCTCCATGACGTATAATATTCATTTTATTAACGTGCGTTGTATGGCAATCAGAATTAAAATGCTCACCTCCCTCAAGAACAACTTGCATCTTATGTTTTCTTTGACATTATTGTCTGACAATTACTTTTCTTTTAACGTCGGCTGTCATCATGACATCGTAGAAGTCGGAAGTTATGAATTCTACACAGAAATGGAGATAAAGGACTAGAGATCACGTAAAAAATTACATTACCTTTTGCTGTATTGGATAAACAGTAGTATAATTTTTTTTGTTTTTGCTTCTCATTTTATAAACTCGGGTTCATTTTTAAAAACGTACATTCGTTTCAAATGCTATTTGCAATTTACTCGACTTTATAATCACTCAAAACATTTCCTAAATTTATCAATATTTCCATCATTGTATACATAATAAAATGGGCCCAAAATAAAGTAACGGAGGAGAGTTATTTTCTCATTTACATTTTTTCTTCACAATGTGTTTAGTACAGATATATCAAGAAACGGTCTGTAAAATAATCTTTCTTGGGAAATTTGACAAATTGTTTCATAAATGCCATTTGTTCCTAGGACTGTAGAGACATTAAGTATTTTTTGAAAACAGGCAAGATAGAAAATATGCAACGTCTTCACCGGGAATCGAACCACGGACCTCTGAAATACCGGCTCAATGTGCTGACCACTACACCACGAAGGCACGTTAAGAAGGCGGCAGAAATACTTTATATACTCCCCCTTTTAAAGGGAGACTGGGGTTTTTAGGGGACCCAATCGCCAAATCCTGGGTGAGGAGAATCATCATCCAACACCCTTTTAGTTCGGGTGCCACTGTAGAGACATTAGGTTAATTGGAAGCAGGCAAGATGAAAAATATACAACACCTTCACTGGGAATCAAACCGCGGACCTCTCAATTACACGCTGAGCGTCCAGACCACTACACCACGAAGGCTCGCTAAGAAGGCGAGAGAAATACCTTATAGGACTAGAGTTGAGATGGGAAGATGTCTTTTCCTTTGATAACGTCCTTTGATAACAGTTTACAGTTGAACAAAGGATAATAATATGCATATAAAGTAAATATGCTAACTAAATTAGTTTAACCAGGTGATTTCAATTATTGAAATTAATTAAACTCTGCTATTTTAACCAGGTTATAAATCTGATATTCCTTAGAATATAAAAATGATTTGCGATTATACTACAGATATAGGTCAGTAAAGATCAAGATTAAAAATCTAAATTTGCAAAATGCTTTCAGGAAAGCCGAAAGAAAGGCAAAATGCATTGCTTTTCAAAAGTTAAACATGAGTTGCAAGTTCTAAGCTTCATAACCGGATCTTCAATTGAATTATGAAAAACTGACAGTAGTTTTAGATAAGTGCATATAACTTTCGGATGATGTCACCAATTAGGATTTACTCTTCACAAATATGCAAATTAGGTATTTGTTGAAGACAATGTATTTCTGAATTTTTTGAAAGGATTATCTTAACTGCTGATAGAAAATGTTTTAAACATGATTATTGTTACTTTTGAATCAGACAAGAGGATTTATGCCTCAAAGAAGACAACTCAATATTTTTCAATTGTTGCGTGCCCGACTTGATGTAGGACATTCTGTTAAGGATGCCATAATTGTTTTCGCTTTTCATTGCTCTAAATTATTACCTTTGGGAAACAATTTCTGATGAGTGAGGTAGTTGTTCGGAGATCTGTTCTAGTTATTCATGGGCCATTGCACTCTCTGATGACTATACGGCTTTATTAGATAATTTCTATTGTTGCGCTTAAGCAAAATATTGGGGTCTAAATAATTATTGATTAAAAGTTATAGTGTTTATCAATGTACAAAATTGGTAAACACCATAACTTTTAATCTTACTTTCAAGTGAACAATTTGACAGCTAAGTGCATCAGCAAATAATTAATTTGAGGTTCGATTTAATGAAACAATTAAAAGTTCTTGAACTGCACCATGGTAGGCAGATAAACAAATAATCATTAGATGTATAAATATTCCTTTTTTACGTAAGTTCTTAAGTACCACACTGATATACTAAGTTCACAATAAACATCCAAATCATAGCTATACCCTAATCTTGGAACTAAACTTCTTATTAAATATTTACATATTAATACTAAGTTTTATATAATTACGACTACACGTAAGAAGGTGGTGAAGAGTACTTATATGAGCAAGCTTCAGTATTCTGAAAAATCTAAACCAAAATTTACGCGATGCTGAGGTATAACACACTGAGAGTCATATTGCAAATAAATTGAAGTAATCAGTTCTTCACACTATCTCTTGCAGTCTTTAAAATTGCTCATTCTCTCCATAATGTTAAATTTTAGCCCAGAACAGTCTCTGTATATCACACTGTAGATATGAGCATTGTCCACGATCGTCACATATTTTGCCACAAATAGTCACAGAGCCAGAAGTAGTCCAATGGACTGGAAACAATCTTCCTTCAATCAGATCACTTCATTACCATCTGACAGGAAGCTTTATCATTCAGTCATATCATAAATGTCTATAAAATTGCAATACTTCTGTGCAACCTTATTGTTCAGTCATTTTTTAAATGTCTGTAACTGGAATACTTACTCCGCATACGGTAGAAACCTTTATCGCTCAGTGATTTCTTAATATCTGTAAAACTGGAACACTTCATCACCATCGAGCAGAAACCCTTACAAAATAGTTGGATGCAGGTCATCTCCAATAAACCTTTTTCACTTCTCGCATTCTTGCGAATCATAACCACAATACTCCAGTCTCTCTTCTCCGTTACTGCACACCCTTCTACCAGTTATAATCCTCATTCTCATTCATTGTGTTGCACAAACCTCTCAATCCAGAGGGTCGAAATTAAAGCGGTGTCATCAAAATCTCAGTTGGACTGTCTCAGATAGAAGCAACATCCTGTTCATGGACGAATCCAAATTTCTGCTGTATCCAGATACGCGTGTGAGGGCCTGGAGAGAAAGAAGAATATGGAATTATGCCCAGAAAATCATTAAATATCACTTGTGCATAAGTGTGAGCTGCAATTTCAATGGGATATCTCACCCAGCTGCGCAACTTTAAGGACTAGTTCTGTGACAGCTGCGCAATGTCATGATAAATCCTACACCCCATTGTGAGACTCTACTTTGCATCGGTTGTTCCTCAACTTTTCCTTATGTATGGTAATTCCGGTTCCCTGGCTCACCAGCGGCTGAGCGCCAGGGTCACTGAACACTGGTAATTCAACCCCGGCTTCGTTTCTTTGCAAACGGGCGTTTTCATGTTTTTCCCCATGCGTAAAGTGTGTGCGAGGCAGTTTCCCTTAGAAGGTCCTCCACGAACACATCCCATTCTTTCTCCTGTGACGTTCTTTGACAAATGAGCAATATCCTGATAAATCCTACACCCCACTGAGAGATTCTGCGTGCATCAGTTGGTCCTGATTTTCTCCTTATGGATGAAAATACTCGTCCCATTCGAGCCCACGTCATTAAGGAGAACCTGGAGTGTGAGATCATTTCTCGTAATGAAGAAGAGATAACCTAGAGGAGAAGTAGGGCTACTCGTGCGGACTACCTCCCGACTTTAATCCCTTCAAGATAATGATGATCCCCTACCTAATTAATGTAAGTTTTGTTTTGTTTTTAGCTTTAAACATCAATTTGTTAATGACCAAAACGTGATGTCATGAAATAATTTACGAAACTTAGATACTGTTTTCAGTGCTTTCTTTCTTTCAGGCATAAGCGAATTTTCTACCTCCTATGCAATTTAGTGTTAATGAAAAGTCTGCTTTTCCATTTTTGTTGATTTTACTGCTACGTGCGTTACTTTTGGAAGCCGGTCTGAAAGTTTTCTTTCGTACAGTAATGAGGTTAGAATGAGTTTGCGTTTTCCTTCACTGTAGGTTTCATTTCCACAATCGTAAATAAAAATAAAAGACTACAATGTTTTAAATTTTTTCTTCAATGTGCACAGTATTTTGCGTTTTGAACGTTTTTGTGATAGATACAACTTATCAATTGTAAATAAATTTGCAGAGTAGTGCATTAAGTTAGAATAAAATAAATCAAAATAGGGCTTTTTGCATTGCTTAATTTTTATACTGTTTTCTTAAAAGTATTTTGTTATGAACAAATGTTCTTCCAAAATAATAAAATAATGCTTAAAGCTGCAATGAAGTAACAATGATGATGAAAAACAAGATGCTGGCATTTGCGTACTATTCGGCAAAAGCGCTATGCATTGTTGGCAAATTTATCGGTGTTTGCAGTGGATGAAATCATGTGAATAAAATAAATGTTACTTAAAATTTAAGCCCTATTTTCTTGTTTAAATCCGAACATTGCGCTTTGTCCATTTTAAGCTTTTCAATAACTATGTGGAGGTTTATCATAACCGATGAGTCCATAATCTTGCGCTTCCATTGCTAATAAAAGCTGGTACAATTATCTTACCTCTTCGGTAGTTGTAAAGAAGAAGATTTTTGGTCGGGTATAAGCAAACGTTTTGATCCGTCTTCCCGTCAATCGCGTTCAACAGTTTTGCACAACTATAGACCGTCTCTGGCTGAAGTTTCTGAATAAAAACCTCATGTTTGAACATGATGTTGTTATTTAACTGAGTCTGAATGATTTTCATGAGTCTGGAGCGGACGAGGACACTCCTTTGTGTTGCGTCTGGCAAACGCTGTATAGTTCGACCGTCTGAATCGCAACCCTGGCTGGTATTTTTCCAAAACACATAGATTCGTCCAAAAGGGACATTATTACTTGCTGCGACATGAAAGGTCACGCGAAAATCTTCTCTTCTCTAGAAAGAGATA